GCAAGATCCTGAAACCAAAAAACTGCAGACCAGTCTCACGTGAATTACAGATTCTAAAATTCTAACAAACATTATCAAATAGAAGCCAACAGTATATTGTAGAGAAAAGACTTTCCAGCTCTGTTAAAGTAAAATCAAAAGACATTTATTGAAGTCAAAGCATTGCAGTGGGAGATTGCAAAGCCTCAGGCTGAAGCTTACGGATCTTGGGAAAAATACAGGTCACAAGTAATTATAGTGCTAAAGCAGGGAGAATAAAATTACACTTTTTCTCATTCGTTTACAGTAATTAAGGTCAGTTAAAGGCGGGACAAGTAAAAGCATAATCTTTAGCATTATTGGTTACATGAGTATATTATTTGGCTAAAAGACATAATTGAAAGACATGGGGCCAAGGGGGGTTTCATGTTGGTTACAAAGCAGTGACATGACGGATGTTTTCAGGAAAGGTTGATTAACAGTTACCTTGCTCAGAACGTTAGATCTTGGGAGGAGAATGGAAACAAAGAATTTCCATGATCTATCAATGGGCTCAAACATAGCGATGATTATGAGGATAGTGCAAGACCTGGCCATGTTTTGTTCTATTATACGTAGGGTCTCTGAGTCATAAACCACGTGAGGGCACCTAACAACAATAACTGTCACTTTGTACATCAGAAACTGAAGAGACTGAGATCAGAAGTTTCCATTAAATGTTCACATTCTTCAGACTAATCGCAAAAAAACTCACTTCCTTAATAATAGATTGGTTCCTAGCAATAAAGGTAGAATCTGGGGGAAAGGTTACCTGGAGCTGCAAGGCAGCAAATGTAAAACCTAAGTGAAAGATTGCATTGAGCTCTTAGAGTTAGTTTAGTCATTTTATAGATAGGTCAGATGCCTAGAATAATTAAATACTACCAAGTAGGGTTTTATTCAGGTATCTAGGAATGGTTCAGAATCAGGAAGTCTGTAAATATAATGTATTACCTGACTAAGTTAAAGGGAGAAAAGCTACATGGTCATTTCAGTGGTTGATGAATAGATGTTGACAAGACTCAGTATTTTTTCCTGATGTTATGGATTGAGTTGTGTTCCCCGAAAAGGTGCGTTGACTTGGCTATGCCATGATTCGCAGTATTGTGTGATTGTCCTCTGTTTTGTGATCTGATGTATTTATCCTATGTATTGTAAGGTGTCAGCAGTAACCATTTAGAACATACAAGGTTAAGGTAGAAACCAAACTCAAAAAGAAGTTGAAAGTTTAATATGGTGAACTGAGTACTGGCTGAAACTTATTTTTCAGCTGACACTAAGTTATTTTCCAAGCACTTAAAAAATGATAGCAAATAATAATAAAATGTAATTATCAGTATAGCCATATTCAAAAACAAGAAAGGGAAATCTCCATTGGTTAGAAAGAGAGACGTTCCCCCCCCCCAAAGAGGAGCAGATGGGAACCACAGCAGGGAATTGGGAATGAAACCTGAGCAAGCATACCACCCTGCCTGAGTGAAACTTGCGGCCCAAAAATGTGCCATCTTCCATAGCCAGGGATTGAGAGGTGCCATTCATGTGTGTTCGTATGGAGCCAGCCTGCTTCCATAAGGCTTGATCCAGAGGGCTAAAGCCAGTGTGACATTACCCCTGCAAGAACACATCACCAATCCAGGACATCCAGGAGAGAAATCTCCTGTGGAAGATGCGCTTTCAGCCAAGAACCACAAAGCATGTAAGGTAGCTAAACAAAAAAACTTAAAAATGAAAATAAAATGTAGTAATAATAGCTGATACTTTTATTGATCACTGTCATATGCCATGCACCATTCTAAGTGTGTCCTTTAATACTCACAGCAGTCCTATAAAATAAATACTATTATTATCCCCATTTTACCCTATGATAAAAAGAAAAAAAGGCACAGAGAAGTTAACAAGCATAGTAAGTAGTAAAGCCATAATTTGAGCCTAGGTAGTTTGGCTTTAGAGACTGTACTCTTACCCATTCTCTTTTACTGCTTGCTTATACTTGAAGAAAGAGATCATAGAGCCGTCTCAAAGGTGGTTTAAAATGAGGATGAATACTTTGGGGAGTAGCATTTGGGGTCTTAAAAGCTTCTGAGCAGCCATCTAAGATACTTCACTGGTCCCACCCCATCTGGAGCAAAGGAGAACGAAGAAAACCAGAGACACAAGGGAAAGATTAGTCCAAAGGACTAATGGACCACAAGTACCACAGCCTCCACCAGACTCAGTCCAGCACAACTAGGTGGTGCCCAGCTATACCACTGACTGCTCTGACAGGGATCACAACAGAGAGTCCTGGACAGAGCTGGAGACCAATGTAGAAAATTCTAACTCACAAGAAAAGACCAGACTTACTGGCCTGACAGAGACTGAAGAAACCCCGAGAGTATGGCCCCTGGACACCCTTTGCTCAGTAATGAAGACACTCCCAAGGGTCACCCTTCAGCCAAAGATTAGACAGGCCTGTAAAACAAAATGAGACTGAAGGGGCACACCAGCCCAGGGGCAAGGTCTAGAAGGCAGGAGGGGACAGGAAAGCTGGTAATAGGGAACCCAGGGTCAAGAAGGGAGAGTGTTGACATGTCGTGGGGTTGGTAACCAGTGTCACAAAACAATATGTGCACTAAATGTACAATGAGAAGCTAATTTGTTCTGTAAACTTTGATCTAAAGTACAATAAAAAAATTATAATAAAAATGAAAACAAAATAAGGATGAAACCTCAAATACATAAAGGCAGGAACAACAGCAGCACAAAATAAGTAGTTGTGAAAACAAGCATTTAGTTATGAAACAAATACAAGTTACAGGGGTAAACTAAAAATCTTAAAATGTAGTTATGGAAATAAATACAACAGATAATATGACTAACCGGCTGTATACAGTTGTTTGGGGCCCTCAAGTGGGTTTCGACTCATAGCAACCCCTGAAAGAGTTGGACAAAGAGAGAGTGGTGAATCTCCCTGGAGTATTCCGCAGAGCATTGATCAGCACACGTGTGCCATGTGCATGTGTGCACGTGTTTGTGCATGGGTGTGTGTGTGCATGCGTGGGTGTGTGTGAGTATATAAACTACTTCAAGTTGAAGAAAGAATTCTTAAAAGGATTAAAGGGAACCAACCAGAATGGAAAACCTCATAATGTGTGAGACATTGAATACTCAGAAGAGTCTTTAATAGTGGGAGTAATTAGTCCTAGACTAAACAGAGCTCTGATCAGGCATAATAAATCTTAAAAGTAAGACTTGAAAGGATCAAACTTTTCCTAGAGAACTACATCCCATTACAAAGTTCAAGAATATAAGAATACAAAATATCCAGCATCCAGTAAGGTAAAATTCACAATGTCTGGCATCCAAATAGGGGTTACCAGGTTTGCAAAGAAATACAACTCATGGTAAGGAGAAAAATCGACCAACTGAAATAGACCTAGAGCTGATACAAATGTTAAAATTATCAGACAAGGACATTAAAATTATATTCTGTATGTTCAATAAGTTAAGTGGAGGCATGGATGATACATATTTTTTAAAAAGACTCATATTGGATTTCTAGGGATGAAAACTACAGTGTCAAAGATGAAAAAGTGAGACAGACCCATCTCGAAACTTTTTTTTAAGAAAATTTTTTCTTAAAGAGACTTGGACTTAATGAATGACTTAATATTGTTAACTTTTATGTTTTTCCCAGAATAATATGTAGGATTCATGTGATTCAAAGCAGAATCCAAATGGAATTTGGTTTTGAAATTGATAAAATTTTTAAATTCACCTAGAGAATAAAAGGGCTTATGAAGATGAACAGTGGCAAAGGAATCTTTAACCTACTGTATGCAGTGTAAAGTTAGCAATGTGAAATTGTCGTAATGACACAAGGTAGATGTACAAGTCCACAGATCTATGGAAATTTACTATGTGCTAAATGTGGCATCTCAATGAATAGTAAAAGGATCATTCAGTGAATAAGATTGGGGCATCTGGCATATTTCTGAGAGGAAACATTAGATCCTAACTCCAGGTTGTTAAAGTAAAATTGAAATGTTTAAGGAGGGGGAAAAAAAGAAATTTTCCAGTACTGGAAAAGAATACTGGTGAATAACTGCATAATTTTTGCATAGAAAATTACTTTCCAAACATAATGCCAAAGGAAAATAAGAAACAATAACATTGACAGTTGACATAAATTTTAAAACATGCTATATAGGAAACAACCAGCATCAAAAAAGTTCAATGGAGACAATGTATTATATACTGTATTAGTAGGGATTCCTGGAAAATGACTTTTGGAACCTGCGTTCTCTATGCTAGTGCTTCTCAAACTATCCATGTCAGAGACTGCTTTTATAAAGTACATTAAGATGTTTATTTTAAAAATGAGATTAAAAAATATAAGCTTTCATTTTTATTATTAGATTCAACAGACATAAATTACTTTGTGAAATTATTGTAAGTTTCTAAACACTATTAAAGTCTTAAATATACGTACTACTGAGTAGGCAGTTCCACTTCTAGGAATTTATCTGACTGAAATAAAATTTAATTTGTAAAAATACTTATCACGATACTGTTTTTATGAGGAAAACATGAGTGCAACCTAACTCTTAGAATGGTATAGTAGTTAAGTACAGTGTTTCCATAAAATGGAATGCTATGCAACTTATTAAATGAAATGAAATACTAAATGTAATAGGGAAATGTTCAGGATAATCCTGCTTATGATAGATAAATCTTAAATAGATATTAAATGAGTGGTAGAATATGCACTAAGATGTTAAAAACAGTTATGTTGATAGAGAATGTAAATTTGTTTTTCAGTTTCTAGAGTTAAATAAGGACAAAACAGTATTGTATTCCAACTTCCAAATCTAGGGATGCTCTGTTAGTTCCTTGAATTATGCAGTAATACGTTGATTAAAAACAAAAGTGCTGTGTGCATATTTTAAAATGTAAGCTCTTTTTTTTTTTTTTTTTTCAGTTTTCTCTGTGCTTTTTTTCAGTTCTGCTTGAGATTTCAAGAATTTTGAATACTGGCTTAGATATGGAAACTCTGTCTATTTGTGTACGGCTTTGTGAGCAAGGAATTAACCCAGAAGCCTTGTCATCGGTTATTAAGGAACTTCGCAAGGCCACCGAAGCACTAAAGGTTAGAGACTCATATATTAGTTCATTCTAAATAAAGATGATTTTGTTTAGAAAATTAATAATGATGAAATTTTTTGAAAGATCTTAGTTACACAACGTTAAACTAGCTTCCAACACCATCAGAAGAAATTCTGACGGCCAGACGTTTAATAGCATATGTTCAGATTACCAAAATTGCTACTATCATGAACCTTTTTTTTTTTTTAAGATGAAATTCACATAACATAAAATTAACTATTTTGAAGTGAACAGTTCAGTGGCATTTAGTACATTTACAATGTTGTGCAATTACCACCTCTTCTAGTTCCAAAACATTTTCATCACCCCAAAAGTTAACCCCGTATCCATTAAGAAGTTGCTCCCCATATCCCTCTGCCCTGGCAACCACCAATCTCTGTTGTCTATAGTGAATTTACCTTTTCTGAATATTTCATATAAATGGAACCATACATTATGTGCCCTTTTATGTCTGGCTTCTTTCACTTAAAATAATGTTTTCAAGGTTCATCTATACTGTTGCATATATTAGAACTTTCTTCTTTTTTTATTGTCGTTAGGTGCCATCAAGTCAGTTTTGGCTCATAGTGACCCCGTGTGTTACAGAGGTAGAACTGCCTCATAAGATTTTCTTTTATATTTATTTATGTATCTATTTTTAGTATCCCATGTTGATTCACTTCTCATTTCTTTTTGTATGTATTCTAGAGGTAATTTCTTAGTGGTTACCATGTTGTTGTTGTTGTTAGGTGCCATCGAGTTGGTTCCGACTCATAGCGACCCTGTGTACAACAGAACAAAACACTGCCCGGTCCTGCGCCACCCTCACAGTCGTTGCTATGCTTGAGCCCATTGTTGTGGCCACTGTGCCAGTCCATCTCGTTGAGGGTCTTCCTCTTTTCCATGATTCTCTTCTTTACCAAGCATGATGTCCTTCTCCAGGGACTCGTCCCTCCTGATAACATGTCCAAAGTATGTGAGACGGAGTCTCACCATCCTTGCTTCTAAGGAGCATTCTGGTTATACTTCCTCCAAAACAGATTAGTTCGTTCTTTTGGTAGTCTGTGGTATATTCAGTATTTTTTGCCAACACCACAATTCAAAGGCGTCAGTTCTTCCGTCTTCCTTTATTTATCATCCGGCTTTCACGTGCGTACGAGGCAATTGAAAACATGGCTTGGATCAGGCACACCTTAGTCTTCAAGGTGACATTTTTGCTTTTTAGCACTTTAAAGGCATCTCTTGCAGCAGATTTGTCCAAGGCAATGTGTCGTTTGATTTCCTGACTGCTGCTTCCATGGGTGTTGATTGTGGATCCAAGTAAAATGAAATCTTTGACAACTTCAGTCTTTTCTCCGTGTATCATGATGTTACTTATTGGTCCAATTGTGAAAATTTTTGAAAAGTTCTACCAAAGAAGAAGTATTTTTGAAATTTTTTTCTGTAGTTTATGAAAACTGGATAGTTTTTATAAAAAAGGATACATGCTCATAATCTTAAAATTTTTAAATCAGAAAATACAAAGAAGGAAACAAAGTCACTCAAGATTGCGCAAGAAATACCCAGCGATAATATTTAGTAACATTATTCCAGATAGTACCACGCTAATTTTAAAATAAAAGTATGATACTTAATTTTATTGAATTAAAAAAGAAAAACAACCCTTCTCAGAATGCTTCTCTCCAGTTTAGAAGGTATTCTTTCCTCACTGCTATATTGGGCTGTAGAATTTGGAGTTGAGAGAGAAATGAGAGATTAAAAAAGTCCTATGCCTCCGCCTGTCCTCCTGGGGTTGGGGTGAGGGGATAAACTGACATAGCAGAGGAAAGTTGGTAAGAGGGTTTTACTGAACTCACATTTCCCCAGGGCAAGTTCGTGCGGATTTTTGGAGTTTTAGTGGCAACCTGATAACTATATATATGTTTAGTACACCATGGCCGTCCTTTCAAATAGAAGGTAGTTGTACATTTGTGTAAAATGAACGCTGCACAAGACTGACTGACTTAGTTTAAGTGAAAGTACTTGGTTCATTGGCTGTATATTGGAAGGAGAACCTCCAAAAGTTAATATGAAATGGGACAAGATGAATTAGATGGCATTTTGTTAAGATACTCTAATTTAAAAAAACTAAAATTGTTTATATAGATTTCAGGTTTTCTTCGAAGTAGGTGTTACTGAGAGTGAGGTTAAGGAGATGACTTAGTACCTGAAGGTTATGTGGCTAAAACTAGTATTAAGACTCTATAAGGCTAGAAGAAAGTAAGAAACATTTTAGAACAAAGATGTTTTTTCAAACTAGTTTTAATTCTCATGAATAGTAAGCCTAATTTAGAATAGTTCTATAAGTAGATTATGTAGAAAAACAAGGTATATTATGTTGAGTGAAAAAAAAAAAAGTTCCAGCCTTGTTTCAAATTATCAACAATTTTCCCAGTATCCTAAGGGATTTTTATGAAAGACCTGTAAACCTAGACTAAACTTAAAAGTAAGTTTTAATTAGGAAGTTGAAATGTAAATGAATTAAAAATCTAATATTTATAGAATTAAACTTACTTAAAGTATCATTTTTATATTTGATATTAAGAAATTAACTTGAGTTTTTAAGGTATGATAATGGTACTGTTATTTAAATCCTTTTAGAAATATGCATTGAATCATTTATTGATGAACGATATGGTATCTGGGAATTTCTTCAGAATAATCTGGGAAAGAATAGTAGTTGGGGGTATAGGTGAGACAGGATTAGTCATGTGTTCATTTTAAGTGGCAGTTCATTATATTATTCTACCTATATGTATCTTTGAAATTTCTTACACATTTTATATATCTAATATATATGTGTGTGTTTAAAGTAAATACGAATGCATTATTTTTAGATTATATCTGTAACTGACCTTAAAAACCACAAACTGACCCTGTAGACAGCTAAGAACTTTAATAAACTAGTCTTTTCGATAGTTTAATAATTAGAAGCCACTAAAGCAAATTCTACTCCCTTTATTCCTCTTTTGCCCTTGTTCTTGCTACTTCATAGTATAATAGATCTTTTTCATTCTTAATCTTTTTTTGGCCATATAATAAAGCATGCAGAAGTAGACTAATGAAGATTATTGGGACAAGATCTGCTCTAACTTTATTTTCCAAGTATCAGTATATTTTTTACAGGTACTCTTAACTATTATTTAAGATAATATATCAGTTTTCTACTCTTAGCCTAGTAGTAAGTTCAGAAGGTAGTGCAGATGTGTGGCCACAGAACATAAACCACTGCATTATCCTGATAAAAGTAGTTTGGTATATATGGAGAAGGGTTGGTTGTTAATGACAGTGCAGTATTGATAAATTTATCTCCACGGTGTCTCCTTTTCTATAGTTTTATTATAATGAATCTTACTTTCTTTTCTAGGCTGCGGAAAATATGACAAGCTGACTTTCTGGAGAAGTCTTGATGAGATATGTTAAGTTTTGCAAGAATATTTGAAGATTGCATTGTAGTCAAGAATGTAGAATGAAATTACTGTATGCAGCAGTGTAGAAACATTTTCCTCTTTAAAAGAATTATAAAACCATAGCTTTATAAATCAGTGGAAAGTGGCTTATAGAGAGAACTATCAGATGTGTTTACTTCACATCTTATTCTTTTTTTTCAACAGCCCTAATGCTTCGGTATTGCCATGTATATCATATTTATGTGTTCCTTATTTATAGCTCTGATAGCTTTAATTTTCTAAACAGTCTATCTATCAGATGTGCACATCTGCTGTGCCTGGTTGAAAGTACAGTGGAACCCCTCAGTAGTGATGTAGTAGTTATGACTTGTTGACATTTCCATTATAAACTTTAATTTTGAATTGTTTATGCATAACAGAATTTCAGCCACCATTTGTGAATTTTTACTTAGATTCATTATGTATATCATAATCTTGTTTTTTATGTGAGCATGAAAAGCTTTTCTTATTATCTGCCCTTTAACAAAGAATGTTTAGTTTTTTAAACATAAAGTTTGGCTGGCAGTTAATAATGTGACCAGATCACTTTTGTATTGAAAAATAAAACTTTTAGAAACTTAATTTTAAAAGTAGTAACAGTTCTCAACTTAGTATTATTTGTAGTTTGAATCATTTAAATCTAATGAAAGTATGAGTTGAGACATGTTTCTCTTTCTAAGTTTTATACCCCATAAGTAAAGGCCTAAAAAAGATGTATAGAATGAAACATAGCCAACATGAAAAATTCCTTTTTACTTTTATTATATAAAAGTAATTTGAGTGCTTACCTAATAAATCTTGAGTGGTTATCTCATAAATCATTAGATGGGAAGTTTCTTTCGGTCAAAAAATGTTAATTTTTTTCTGAAGAAGTAAAGACTTCTAGTCATTAAACTGGAGCCCTGGTGGCATAGTGGTTAAAAGCTTGGCTGCTAACCAAGAGATTGGCAGTTCGAATCCACCAGCCTCTCA